TCATGACAATAATAACCCTAAAGGCCCTCTTGCAATCGGATCAAACAGAAGCACATAAAACTGTACTTATGTTATGCACGGGCGCACACACACACCCCCACACACACACACACACACACACACACACACACCTACACGACACACAGACAAGGTACCCTTTGTTTACGTGTACACCAATGTAAAATGTCATATTTTACATAACTTATGTACATAACTTATGCATATTCATGTAACCTCAATAAAAGAGCAGTGTTACGAGGGAGCAGACAAGAGCAACTGGGGTCAAGCGAAGGAACGGCACTGTCGCGGTTCTCTCCTTGGTGCGTGAGTTACACAAAGAGCTCTGGTGACTTGCGTCTTGCTTTTTGCTGTTGTAGTTGAATTAATAATACATTTTATTTCAAAACACTCAAGGTCACTGTACACAGAATAAAAAGCAACATAAAAGCAAGCAGTTTACACAATCATAAAAGCACAAGACATAAACAAATTTAAAATAGCAGAATGAAGAGGTTATATGGGATAAGCTATTTTGAACAAGTGAGTTTTGAGTTGGGACTTAAAGAGAGAGGAGGTAGGGAATTCCAGAGTCGTGGAGCAGAGCAGCTGAAAGCCCTGCTCCCCATGGTGGCAAGACGGGGGGAAGGGACGGAGAGTGAAAGGGAAGAAGTAGATCTGAGACAACGAGATGGGGCGGTGATCTTAACCAGATCAGAGAGATATGGAGGGGAGAGATGATGAATAGCCTTAAATGTGTACAAGTGTAATTTGAAATTGATACGATATTTGACCGGGAGCCAATGAAGCTGCTGCAGGACAGGAGTGATGTGGTGGGCAGAAGGGGTCCTGGTGATAATACAGGCAGCAGAGTTCTGGACGCGTTGGAGCTTGTGGATGGATTTTTGAGTAAGACCAAAAAGAAGTGAATTACAATAATCAATCCGGGAAGTAACAAGGCCATGGACAAGAATGGCAGTGGCATGTGGGGTGAGAAAAGGACGGAGACAATTAATGTTGCACAATTTAAAATATGCGGACCGAGTGACATTATTAATGTGTGAATTGAAAGATAAAGTACTGTCGAGGATGACACCCAAACTTTTCACAGCGGAAGAAACGAAGACTGGCTAGTAACAGAGAAACTGTTGAATTGTCTCGTTCCAGCGAGGGGTTGTGCTAGACAGACCCATCAGTGACAAGTGGATAAACTCTCAGGTTATTAATAAATGTATTACAGTCATATAAACAAATGATGAAACACATGGCAGTGACATTGATGGTTTAACAGAGTGTATATGACACTGACAACTCTATTCCCACCAAAGAGGTAAATGGACCAGTTCTTATATAGTGCTTTTCTACTCTATCTGAGCACCCAAAGCACTTTATACAACTAATTTATTCATCCAATCACACAGCACTTTTACTAAGCTGTTAGTGCCTATCTAACATTCATACACATTCACACTCTGATGGATGCATCGGAGAGCAACATGGGGTTAGTATCTTGCATAAGGACTGATGTACTGTGGCTTCATATTATGAAGGTTATCATGGAACACCTCAGACCCCTGGTGAGCAAGTCACATGACTTTTAACAGTTTGCACACCAGTCCCACTTGGGGGTGGACAATGCAGTGATACATCTGCTGCAGGGAGCGTATTACTCCCTCTATAGACCCAGCATTACAGTTTGTTTAATGTTGTTCGAGTTCTCTAATGCCTTTACTTTAATACGATCCAGCCTGGGCTGCTGAGAGAGAAGTTGGAGGACATGTAGATGGAGGCTCAACTGGCTGATTTCAAGTACATCACAGATATACTAATGTTCTAATGCAAAAACAAACATAATCATTTTATGATTGGAAACCAAACAACCTGATCAGTGGTCTTTGGTCAGTGGTTGTTGATCAATGGTCATAAGAATTTGCATAATTATGACGAAGGAACTGACCTCACAGCCCATTGTTCCTTCAGTGGGCTGGTTTCAGTCATTATGCAAATGTACTGTTTATAAGATTGGGGAAACCTGCAGTCAGCTGAGACTGAAGAAATCACTTGGATGAGTGACGAAACGTTTGTCCCACTGAAAACGCTATGTCCAAATGAACAGAATCAACTTTTGGAGAGTACGTTTATTCTTATTTTCTTCAATCCGTGATGAATAGTAAGATGTTCTAGCTTACGGAGGGCTTTCTTATAAAGCAACAAATGATTTCTCCACGCTAAATGATGATCTTCTAATTTGTATTTAGAAGCTAACAAGTTATCTGCTTTAGGGTACGTGTTTGTGAATTATACTACAGAGTCAAATACTTCTGATTTGAGGACTTATTTTTCACAGGAGCTACAGTATCCAGAGTCGTACGTAGTGAGGAGGTAAAATTATTAACAAGATAATCGACCACTGTTGGAGTAGCATTCAGATAGCTGCTTTACTCTATGTTGGTAAAGGTCATTGAAGATGATAACAGTGGGTGGATTATATTCTTAAACTTAGTTACAGCACTTTCAGAAAGACATCTACTTTGATAAAGTCCACTCTCCACTGCTGTGTAATCAATTATTGTAAATGTAATTAGGAAATGATCAGACAGGAGAGGGTTTTCAGGAAACACTGTTAAATGTTCAGTTTCTATGCCATATGTTAAAACAAGATCTAGAGTGTGATTAAAGTGGTGGGTGGGTTCTTTTACATTTTGACAGAAGCCAATTGAGTCTAATAACAAATTAAATCCCATGTTGAGGCTGTAATGTTAAAATCACTCACAATAATTATTTTATCTGAGCTGAGCACTAAATCAGATAAAAAGTCTGAGAAATCAGACAAACTCTGTGTAAGGCCCAGGTGGACGATAGATGGAGTTTTACAGCTGGGGTGGACAAGTTTATGATGTTTTTAACGAACACCTTTTGTTGCTTGTAATGCACAGACACACCAACAGAGGGCAGTAATATCCCTTCAACATACATTGTAAAATTACTATTTTACCGCACGCTTTTAGCCTTGTGGGCTTTGTATTTCCTTTTAATGCTTGGACAATCACGCTTGATATGTCGGAGCATGAGTCGGAGCTGTGTGCTCCCACTGTTTTTGATCCACTCTGTTCATTTCTATGCATCTGAGATGACATAGCTGATACACTACTGGACACAGTGGTGTTATCAGTAAGCACTCGCTTTTGTTCCTCATTTATCAAGGCTTGTTGAACAAACTGTAGTGTCAGACTGTCCATCTTTGTCTCCAAAGCAGTGACAACAGTTGCATAGCTGGGTGGCAAACTACCTAGAAGGGTGACAATTTGATCTTCCTCTTCAATTACAGAACGTATTGCCCCTAGCTGATCAGTAAGTTCCTTCATCCTTTTTAAATAATCATTGACATGTTTTCCTTTCATCATTTCACACCGGAAGTACTTCTTCTTCAGAAATAGCTTGTTAGCAACAGTATCTCTTTCAAACTGTGCTTTAGCATCTCCCATGCTTCTTTGGGGGTCTTGCAGTTTGTTATCAAGTACAATTGGGGTGTTCTTACATTCAGTACAAGCACCGCTGTAGCTTGCCATCACCAGTGTGTGAATGTGTGTAGTGTAAAGCGCTTTGGGGTCCTTAGGACCAAGTAAAGCGCTATACAAATACAGACTGATACCACAGTCTGAGAAATGTCTATGTTTACCCGCCCCCAGGCCCCGGCTGCAGCTCAGAGCGGGGAGAAGGGGAGGCGAGACATGTCAGCCGTGTGGAACTTTTTCAAAGTGAATGAAAACGACAAAACAAAGGCGGATTGCAAATTGTGCTCAGCGAAATTGTCCAGAGGAGGCTCAAAAGGTAGCGCATTTAACACAAGCAATTTAATCAAGCACCTGAAATCCCAACAAGATAATGAGTACAAGGAGTTTACCCACGCTTCTAGACCAACACAACCCACGCTGCAGCAAACTCTTGCAAGACGAGAGAAAATGTCCAGAGACAATCTACGTGCTGTGAAAATAACACAGGCAATTATCGAGTACATTGCATTGAGTGACCAGCCACTCTCGGAGGTAGAAAATGTTGGATTCCTGCATCTCCTCCATGTTCTGGAGCCCAGATATGATGTCCCAAGCTGCCACTACATGACTGACACGGAGCTGCCTAAACTACACGAGTCCGTGAAAAAACATATCCACAGCCTACTGCAAGTCTCCTCTGTGTTTAGTTTCACCACGGATATTTGGACAAGCAGTGTTAGCCCCGTGTTGCTGATTAGCCCAACCTCCCAGTGGATAGACGAGTTTCACGCCGCAATGAGCCATTACATGCCAAACAATTCTGCGGCTCGCACACCAGCCAGGCTATAGCGCATGTCTTTGAGGAAATGCTCCAGACATGGGGTATACCTAAGACATCAGTACATGTTGTGCTTCGTGACAATGCCAAAAACATGATTAAAGCCATGAATGAAGCAGGGCTCCCAAGTCTGCCATATGTCGCGCACACGCTCCAACTGGCTGTTCA